TTTGTCAGTGGTGTCTAAATAATCTTAGAAAGTACATATAACTCGGAAAAAGTCACATTGGTACTTGCCGTTGGTAGGTTTCGAACCCGGACTCTCTCATTGCTTATTTAACAACGTGTATTGTACAAACTTATAATAAAATTGTAATATTAAATTAAACACTGCCTCGTTGGCTAAGTGGTCGCAAGCGCGACTGCCGGGCAAGGGGTTACGGGTTCGATTCTCGGGTCGGGCAAAGTATTACTGGGTTTAAAAAAAAATCTCAGTAGTAGCACGGAGTCTGGAACTGTGCCCGGTATATGGCAATACGCTCACCCCCTATTACATGGGACTCATAACATAAATAATGAAAAATGGATGTTACATTGTAAAGTGGCATAATGTGCATCTCTGCCTACTCCTTCGGGGATAAAAGTCGTGATGTTATGTGATGTTAAAATTATGTCCAGTCTCTGTATCCAATCGGGAACTTTCGACGAAGTATTGCATGTTTTAAGTCTACTTCATATTTTTTGTGAGACTTGCCACTTATTTTTAAAATGTGTTAGTAGTTGACCGATAACTGCCTGTATGTAAGACCTCATTATGTTTGGCTTTAAATCAAAGAAATCGAATTATTCATTTAAAAAATACATTTTTGAGTTCATCAATTTATTTAGTTCGTTTTCGGTTATATTCCTACCAATTTCTTAGATTGCACAGCCACAACCTCTGCCTATCAGGTCACCTCGGAAACCAAGTCCGGGTGCAGCGTAAGCAGCGGAAGCGAAAGCACCAGCAGGACCATAAGCGGCAAGAGGAGCCAGTGCAGCAGCCGGGGCATAGGCAGCAGAGCCACTGGTCATGGCAGTCCTGCCATTACCACAGGCATGGTTGATGGCACCAGCACCGGCAGAGGGCACCACGCCTTCCATAGCGACAGTGCCCACGAACGGCAGCTCTCCAATCACTTCCATAACACCCTCGTACACATTGTCAGACACCACGGAGATACCGACGGGAGCTATAGCGGAGCCACTGGTCACAGGCATACCACCACCGCTGGTGGGGCTGAATTCCATGGCGGGGGCGCCGATGATGCCATCATAAGCCAGGCCTCTGCCAGCCAGACCGTAAGGAGAAGCTAAGCCAGCAGATCCAAGGCCAGCCCAAGGAAGGACAAGCTCAGAAGCGGCCAGTCCACAAGGAGTACCTAGGACGGGAGCAGCCAAGCCATAAGGAACAGCTAGCGGTATTTCAGCGACTGCAGCCCTGCTGGTGCACTGGCTGAGGGCGGACTGAAAATAAAAACCAATACGTCAGTAAAATACTTATGGATCCACGGCGTGATATATAAGATGTACTTAGTTAAAATGTATAAAATCAATTTTAAAGTGCCATTCTCACCTTGACGAGGAGCGCCTGGGCGCAGAGTATGAGGATAGCCTTCACAGACATGATGCTACTGTTCTAGTGCTGACACGAGAATGATGTCCAGTGCTGCTGTCGCGGGTTTTATACTAAACTGCGTTATCAAGTTCCAAGAATATTAGTAGGTAGGTAGGCATACAGCAAATAGAACCTTGTGCAATCGTGATAAGCATACTATTTACAAACAAAAAAACGTTTAAATATTGACACATTTAAATGGCAATGATGTAATGAGAAGTCCTCGTAATTGATAATGTTATAATTATGTACAATGTGTCAAGTATATAAGGTCGGAGACCGATCCAGTTCATCATTCAGTCTTCAGCTCCTCGTTGAACACCAAACATGTCTACCTTCGCTTTCGTGTTCCTCTGCATCCAAGCTTGCTTGGTCCAGGTAAACATTGCATTTAACTTGTCTAATTTTACCATATTGAATAGTAATGATCCATCACTTTACACTCTCGGCTTCATAATGCTAACCATGATTTTTCTATTCTAGCATGTGTTCGGTCAGTGCACCAGCCCCGCAGCTGTTGTTGAAGCTCCTTTTGGACTGGCTGCTCCTGGTTTAGCTGCTCGTGGTCTGGCCGGTCCTCTTGGTTGGGCTGGCCCTGGTCTATCAGCTAACGGTCTTATTGCTCCTGGTTTTGCTGCTCGTGATCTTATTGCCCCTGGCATTGCTGCTCCTTTCGGTCTGGCTTCTCCTTTAGCTTATGATGGTCTGACCTACCCTGGTGCTGCTCCCTACGGCGGTGCTGGTGAAGGCAACGTGGCGGTCGCTGGTGAGCTGCCAGTCGCTGG